CCAGGGTACTGATATTGGGCCTGTAGCATGCTGGGATGAAGGACTATCAAGTTTGTTCAACTGAATGACCTTGACCAACTTTCAAGGTCACAGGGTCAAATGTCGTAAAATCTTCAAGCGACTTCTTTTCAATAAGCAAAAGGGCCAGGGTACTGAAATTGGGCCTGTAGCATGCTGGGATGAAGGACTACCATGTTAGTTCAAATGAATGACCTTGATCCACTTTCAACCTAATGTCCTTGTTCAACAATCAAGGTCAGAGGCGTCATATGTTTAAATCTTTTAATAGGTTCTTATGAAATCTTAAGATTACAAGTGTCAGATTAATAACAGGTGAGCGATGCAGGCCCATTGGGCCTCTTGTTTGATTTACAATTCATATTTACCTTCACAGTAAATTTCAAACCATTCTTGAAAATAAAAGTATTACACTCGATAATCATAGGACATGTAGCAAATCTTGGTGTCTTACATTTGGATACTTCTGGTGTTACCCAAGAATTATCAAACTTAGAACATGTCAACATACGTTTCAAGTTTTTAGGTTGGCGTGTACAGCGTAAAATAGCATGTTTATTAAAAATGTTTCTCATACGCCTGCTACTTTGCTTTAACTCTTCACATTTGTTCTTTATCACAGGAAACATATTACAAGTCCGTGGATTGAAAGTAGAAACAAAAGGAACTAACTTTGATTCATCCTTTAGTTTTTGTAGACGGGAAGTAAAGGGTCCCTTTCATTATCTCAGTAGGATAACATTGAGCTTTAAGGTATTGCTTTAGTTGTTATTTTTTCTATATATATATATATATATAAAGAATAAAAACATCAATCTGTCAGGCGTATGAGAAACATTTTTAATTTTATACAGAAAGCTATTGAAAAGGGACCCTTTACCTCCCGTCTACAAAAACTAAAGGATGAATCAAAGTTAGTTCCTTTTGTGATAGTGCATCTTGCGCAAGAATAGGTCCTCTACGTCAGCGTTCCTTGTCCGCGATGCTCTCAGCTTAATTGCTGCCTTTGGCTGTCTTTAACCGAGAGGACTATTGGTTTTATATAATAGCTATATTTTCAATTATAGTATATCAGTTTTATCTTCTTGTAATATGATGTATTTGTACATGTAACTGTTCTGTTTCACTGTGTCTTGAAAAAGGAGCGGATCGCTCCGAAAATTTGACAACCTAAACTTGTCCACACTGTTGGAATTACTTCTTTGCCCCATATATATAAATATATATATACTGACATTTTTGCTAAGGATCACCTATACTTTGAAACAAAATCAAAATGTTAGAAAGGATATTATATTTTCCTTCCGTACTGTTTTGGGCGAATATGTTAGCCTTCCAAATCGTCCTGTGTGGTGTGTTCAGTCAACCATAAAAGCGCGCGCACGCTTTTCCACGTGTACAGCCCCTTTCAAAAGCTAGGCTAGGCTAAGTAAGGCGTTGTTCAAATTATTAAGGAAATCAATTTGATGAATATTCTTTGCGGGTTTTTGTTTTGATATGGCACAAAGACGAACCAGACATCGGTTAAATGACGGTGATATGAATAGGGGCATCGTAATGCTGCAAACTAGCATGTCTCAACGTCAGGTTACGGAACCCCTTCAAGACGTCATGCTGGGGGTCGTTCTTGGGCTACAACGCAGCGCCAAGGCAGATTTTTCTCATACAGGCACGGCGTCACAGGTTTCAGAAAGCCACAGCTTTACGAAATGACCTCCTAATGCTTCTGGTACCCGGATAGTCACTCAGATAGATAGGAACCGTCTTCATGAGTCTGGTTTAAGGTCACGTAGACCAGCAATACGAGTTCCCTTAACTGCCCGCCATGTTAGGGACCGATTAGAGTGGGCCCAAACTCACAGCACTTGGACTCTTCAGGAATGGGAACTGGTTCTTTTTACTGACGAGTCCAAATTATGTCTCGACTTCACCGACAGGCGCGTTAGAGTATGGAGACGACATGGGAAGAGGTTCCAGGCAGGTAACGTTGTGGAACATGACCGATATGGCGGAGGTTGAGGGATGGTGTGGGGAGGCATAAGCCTTCGTGGGAAAACTGACCTCCATGTCTTCCATAATGGTACCGTTACGGCCAGATTTACTGCGATGAAATCCTTGATGCCTATGTCGGACCCTACGCTGGTCCGATCGGCCCTGACTTCATCCTTATGGACGATAATGCTAGGCCACATAGAGCAAGGGTGACTGAGCAGTACTAAATCCCATCGCGCATGTGTGGGACATGATGCAGACAGCTCTCACTGCCAGCAATGTTCAGCCAAGAACGCTCCAGGAGCTGGGATCAGCTTTGGTAGCCGAGTGGAACGCTATCCCCACAAAACCGGATACGCGATCTCCATCGGGGCATGCGCAGACGTTGTGAAACTGTAATTGATGCTCATGCGCGTCACACTCGATACTAAAACAGTTTTTGTTTATTTAGGATGAGTTTTGTTCAATTTCAGTTATTTAGTGAATACCTCGTTGTTACCAATTTTAAGGGTAACCCTTTTCCTGTGGCTCATTTTCCGACTGTAATTACGATTTTTGGAATTTTTGCATGCTGATGAATTAAAAGAACAATCAATTTTTCAAAAATAATCTCAGTATAAACCAAATAAAATATTTATTTTCACATATGCCCAAAAATAAAAGTGATCCTTAGCAAAATGTGAGTAGTATATATATCACACATGTGGTCGCCTGTGACGTAGATAGCACTTACTATGGATGGTTAGTAACATATCGTCTCATTGTACCTTATTTTCCATCTTAAAGCGGACCTATGGAACATGTTATATCTTGCGAATTATTTAGTAAAAAGTGATGTCTTAGTGTTTCTGCGTTAGATGAAAAACAGGTGATGGATTGACAATTGGAGCCAGAATGTTAGAAACATATTTAAGCAGTGATCAGATGATGGCTGATAAGGATAGACAATTGAAAGGAAAGCGTTGCAATCACATAATTTGTTGTCTATGATGTTTGATGCAAATGGATGTATTTAGTCTACGTTGAATCACTTGGATATTGTTTTTAGATTTTGAAAGTTTTATTTTCGAGTACCACGAGCTTGTGTGGGATACACTACTCTAGCTAGGTGTGCTCTCTAACTGTATAACTCGAAGGACCTATTTTTAGTTTGCCGAATGGATGTAATATTTGAGTAAACCAGCAAAGGTTTTCTTTACATGGATGCCCGGATGTCTATGTGTGATATCTCTCTTTGCTTGTATATCATTTAGAAATCAAACACTGTACGTAGATATGGATTTTTAACTTTTGACGTTAAGTACCAATGATACGTCTTAAATGGGTTAATTGCCCGTATGTTGCAGTTAAATATTTACATTGCTTGACTTTTTTCATTAACGTACTAACGTTTTGAGAAAGTTGTTTAATACTTTGTATTTAGAACTATGGATTATAATATACGGCCTTAATTCCCAGTTACATCTGATTTATGCATTGTTAAGTAGTCGTTTTGGCTATAATATTATTTATATATAATTTTCTGTTGTAGGTCACATTAGTGTTTGGAACGTTGCGAAGATGATATCGAGCGCTGTTGATGTATTGTGTAGATGTGGGTATACCGAGAGAGAAGCCGCATTAACCGATACCCGACGTGCTTTTCTTGTTCGACAGCGTTTGGTAATCTCTCCTCGTTTGCACTCAGAAACCTCCAAAATAATCGACACCAATATTTTGGTAACCGCTACTGCTGGAAAAGTAGGAAAATCATCAAGGACGTCGAACGCTGAACTTAGGTCAAGTGGAAGTGATGTCGCGTTTGTAAAATGTGCATACACCGGCGTTTTGTTTGATACCAACATTAACAGACCAGTGCCGTACCCAAAATGGTTTGCCGAAAAATATTGTTCTCCACTTTCATATATTGACAATAGTCATATACAAGCTAAGAAGGATATGGTATCTTTCCCTTCAAACGCTCACAGGACCCAGCTGAAAGTCCGTCACAGTGATACAGATTTCAACATGCACGTGGCCAATGCGGAATATTTACGTTACTGTATGGAAGCGGCCACAGATGCCTCTATATCCGGATACTTTAGACATTTCAGCCGAGACATGTGTTGGTACCCTGTACTGGAACTTGATATCATATATCTCGCTCAGTCTCGACCCGGCGAGATGTTGGATGTCTACACCTGGCAGGACGAATATGATATTCAGGCCATATACTTTTCTATCCATCGAGATCGAACCGCCATTGCTGTTTCTGCTTTCAAATTTGGATTCGGTGAAAATACATCTCACCTTTGACCAAAATCGTAGAAAACTACGGAGACATCAAGTAGACATTAAGAAATAATTACATATGAATACATTTTGAGATAAATTCACACCTATTGGGCATGTGTTCGCAGATTAAAGGCCATATGATCTTTTAAACATATATAAGATACAGCTTTAATCTTCCAACCACTTTATCTTCCTATAAACAGGGGCCGGATCATCACGGAAGGATTGCCAAGACAAATTTGTAAAGAAAGAGGCTAGTCTGTGCCTCAAACATTGGTTAGATTGCCATTGACTTGTATAAAAGGCTAAATCTTTATGCTGTTTTAATATCATTTGATATCACAGACCATGCCTGGAAGTATTTGTGTTTTCTCTTAATGACAGTTTCTTGTCTATAAACAGTATTTACAAGGTGGAATACTATTTCCTTATGCTTATTTTGAGGAAAACATTTTGGTGAGACAAAACAGAAAATGTTTTAGAAGTGTTTTGAAAACAAGTAACAAAGACGGCAATATTCTAATAGATATACAGGCTGTTGGGTTAATTCACCAAATAGGCCGCAGTCACAAGTAGGAAAATGCCGACGGGTCCATGGTACATTGTTTGTATTGAAATGCAAGAACACCAATGGATCATTTAATAATTCACAATAGATAATGTCAATGTTAATATACCAAGGATCTTCCCATCTTTGTATAATTCAATTCTATAAGATCAGGTGGTACGTTTTGTTGTTACAGACCGACCAGAGATAATGTTTATGAATCGTATCAGCAGGACCGATTTGCCTTGGTGATCGTTTAAGTGATGAAAACCAAGTGTAAATCAAGCGAGTGTGAATTTGACTACAGAAATAGATTATTTATTTGACACAGGATTGAGTGCTGGGTGAGTTCTGTGAGATTTTCTATGTAACACAGGATTAAGTGCTGGTGAGTTCTGTGAGATTACTATCTAACACAGGATTGAGTGCTGGGTGAGTTCTGTGCTCCTTGTTCCTTTGAAGACTTCATTGAATAGATTATCTATCTAACACAGGATTGAGTGCTGGGTGAGTTCTGTGAGATTATCTATCTAATTCAGGATTGAGTGCTGGGTGAGTTCTGTGAGATTATCTATCTAACACAGAATTGAGTGCTGGGTGAGTTCTGTGAGATTATCTATCTACCACAGGATTGAGTGCTGGGTGATTTCTGTGAGATTATCTATCTAACACAGGATTGAGTGCTTGGTGAGTTCTGTGTTTTTTGTTCCTTTGAAGAAAACAACTGTGCACAAACAGTTTTTATTATATTTGCAGTTGATTATTTATTTATTCATTGAAATTATTCTGCTCATGTAGGTTTCCGATCGCATTTGAACTCTATCAACACTGATGGGTAGTTTGGACTGAAATGATTAAGAGAAAATAATCTATGTATAACTACACTGATGGGTAGTTTGGACTTGTATGAATGATAAATATACACATTTCATTCATGCCAAAATCGATTTGCTTTTGTTTTAAAGCGTCAATACCTCAAGTTCTGAGGCAACGCTATTTACCAATCATATGTCTTATAGTACCTTGAACATATTAGAACACTGAAATCATAACTCGTCATTTCTCATAAAGCAATGTTTGCGCTTGTTTTTAACAAAAAGGATCATGAAAAAGAAAAGTACATTTTATGATGTATATTTCAACATGTCACATCTTAATTCACATCGATTACTCGGGTAGCAACAACAAAACGACAAGGCACTCAATTAAGCACGATAACAAAATTCGGCCTTCATATCACACAAAGAAATAACAAGCTCTTTAGTACCGAATTATCTGCGACATGAAAACACCGTTTGTAGGGGAAACTGGGATGTAACTATCAAGAAAGGGAAAGTTCACGGTCCGAAATCGTCCCGCTTAACAACTTTGAAGTAAGTCGTCCTTGTTGGTCATGTTGTAAGCAAAGCTCGAGGAAAGGGTTCAAGTAGAAGCGTATAGTTGAAATTATCCTTTACTTTTATAAAAGCTATTCGCTACTTGATATGATGTAAAGAAATAAATGTTAAAGTTTGCAAATTCATTATCGTACATAAGTCAGAAAGGGTCCTTACGACATAGCTATTTGATATCCGAAACAATTTAGAATGTCCATTGCTTGGAAAAAAATTGATTATGTTAGAATAATATTAGAGATGAAGTTCTACCACAGAAGTTCTATCACTATGGTCGGAAATGAGAGTCAACACTCTGGGTATTGCCTATACGGATGCATTGCCTACACACGAGTTTCGCCGTACACATTATATATCTTGACTAAACTACAGGTGTTTAGACCGTATTTATAAAATCTCGATCTCCTGTGGTTAAACATAATGGTTGGAAGTTAGAAATGTCCAAGAAATATCACCTAGCTAATTCTGTTAAGATCAAAATCGCATTACGCTGTATATTTTGTCTCTCGCTGTTGTTTTTAAAACTGTATACTGGAAAGAAATATTGAATTTCTTTATCAATCTATTATTAATCTATCCCCCCCCCCCCCCCCCCCCCCTCCTCAAAGCTAAAATATGGGTAGTGATAACGAAACAGCATGCTATTGATCATAACCAATCGACATCACATAACACAAAAAGACAGTGTATTTAATGACGACCATAGATCTCCCTAGTCTTTATCAGCCTCCGTCTCTGGAAACCCTGTGTTGTAAGTTGGTCCGTCAGCAGTCGACATCGATCCCGGAAACCCTGTGTTGTAAGTTGGTCCGTCAGCAGTTGACATCGATCACGGAAACCCTGTGTTGTAAGTTGGTCCGCCAGCTGTCGACATCGATCACGGAAACCCTGTGTTGGAAGTTGGTCCGTCAGCTGTCGACATCGATCACGGAACCCCTGTGTTGTAAGTTGGTCCGTCAGCTGTCGACAGCGATCACGGAAACCCTGTGTTGTAAGTTGGTCCGTCAGCAGTCGACATCGATCCCGGAAACCCTGTGTTGTAAGTTGGTCCGTCAGCTGTCGACATCGATCACGGAAGTTCTGATATCAGAAACAAACTCTTGAATACCGAATCAACTTCAACATTTCACACCGTAGGATGGGGAAACAGTGGTGTTACAATAAGAAAGAAAGTTCACTATCTAAAATTAGACATCATCATGCTTATCGAACAACCTAGTATTAAACTGTTGGTCACGCTGTAAATACTGACCGATGACAGTGGCTGGTGTAGAGCCCGTAGTGTCTTTGTTTTAAAATTCAGAAGGGTATATATGTGATACGATCTAATTAGTCAATACATTTCCTGCTAATTGAAGTAGGGATATCATCAAGGACGTCGAACGTTGAAGTAAGGTCAATCTGAAGTGACATCACGCTTGTAATAGGTGTATACATGTGTTAGTAAGTTTTTGTAATACTGTTTTAATCCTACCTGCTTTTGTTCGTGAAGTTATTTTGTACACCATATTTCAGAGAGAGAAATAGGACGCTAGTTTTTTTTATCGATCTAACTACAAAAGTGCCAAGTTGTTTCCAAACGAATTAATTCTCTGAGTACCTTTTCTCTTTGATCTTGTTGTTTTTTCTAGTAAGAGGTATAAGATATGGTTTCGTCTCTGATTTCTATTAGATTGGTTTCTTAATAATATTGTTCATTTATTGTAAATTGAATTGACAACTGTACCTTAATGTTACCGTGCCACAATATGTCGGGAAAAACTGTGGTTTAAACTGCAGTCATAAAATCGCATAAATGCTATGAGTATATTTATTTGGAAATATTAACATTTCAATGGCGTATAAGAGCGTAGCCCTCGGGCGCCAAAGACGCCAGAGCGAGGCTCTTTAATGGTAACACATGCGTGCGTAAAAAAGTTACTTCTTTTGTTATAATTATATGTTGCCCTAAATAAAGTTCGTCCGGAAGTAGCCGTCCTATAGGGAAACAGGAAGTTACCCTTGAACTAAGAACAAATACTTTCGACACATACACTGATATCTACAACATCTTCATGGCTTCTTATTGGGTTAAAGTCTTATTTAGAGAAAAATTCAATACGAATTAAAATAGAAAGTCTCTTTTTGTGTATTCCCGCCTGAGTGAGACACAATTTTTTCATTTGTTGTTACGGAAAATATCAGAAGCATACAGATTATTAACGTTTCATGCAATTAGAATTGTTCTGATAATCTATATTTTCAGTCTTTGATAAAAATTGATATATTTTTGAGAGAAAAAAGTCCATTACATGAATTGCCATACTGGCATGCATGAAACTTCGTCCAGAGGATGTCATATTCATTCGGCCTTTACTGGTTATTTCCGGAAAGAAGAAAAATTACCGGAAAATGTTGGATCTGATGTCTGTTGCATTATAATTTTTGCTGATGCGTACCATCTTGGCTTATTGTTTACATCTCTTTTTGCCAGAGGCTAAAACGTAATTAGGGAACTTTCTTTATCTAGCAATAAAACTAGGTAATAACGCTATATAGTTGTGTATGTTACAGTCTGTACTACAATGTATGTTGTCGTATGAAACTACTACCATTCGCATCAATATATCTTTGGATTATTACTTAAGTAAACAATATGATTTATATTTCTGTGCTAGATTACACTGAACATCAGTGTAATACGCTGTACTCTAAGATACGGTGTGACATAGATCTTTGATGTCATGGATCATTATGTAACTCATAGTAAAAGGCTAAACCATTCTGATGAATGTCATTGTATCATAATGCATCTAACTGTATTATGCTAGGTTACCGGTACTTTTAGTGCAGGACATTAGTTATATTATAGTATAGTATGCGACACTATATGCAATGGTACGGTTACGATGTGTGATATTAACTTGTGATGTGCTATACTATAATGTATTTGATATTCTACCACGTCTGTGATGTAACGACGGTTTGCATTATTGAGCGATATACCATGCGCGTGCAAATTACCAATGCACGTGAAATGCTGTTCCAACAACCTCCCCGTATTTTATCATTAATTAACAAAAATAGCATAACTGTCAGGCGGGATCAAACTATTTGACAGGCCTGCCATTCAAAAGACTACACGGATCTATAGACCTAAAGTATGTGGGTCCGTGCAGTAAAAATCGCTAATTAATTATTGACATTTAAAATGTACAGGTCTGAAGACAAAATGGTGAATTATTAATTACTTCTGTTTTTACTTCAATGGGTAGTGCCTTACATTTCACGATGTGTGCAGTGTGTCTATGTACTGTCAAGCGTTGATTTCATGTTGTTTTGACGAACGATGTCGATAGCGTGCCAATGTTTGTTTGATTGAAATAAACATCGTACAATTCTCTGTATCTGACGTCACACGTGTTCAGTTGTTTCTGGTCTGCAAAACGTCGTCTGCTTTCAAAAAAAACAAAGTGATGTCGAGCATTCGCCTACAGTGTACATACCGTCATGATCAGCCGGTCAGCGACTTTCCATCACGTCATGGCAACCAACTAAATATGCCAACTCTTTGTCAGGCCTATCGTATGATGTTGTATCACTGGCACTTCTAAGAAAATCCGCTTGATATCGGTACGATGATGATGGTTTTAGAAGTTAACGCAATCCGGGAATCCCAACCCTACGCACTGAGAAACGTTGGAGCGACATTGATCAAGTTAAAACGAGGCAACACGAACACGATGCACGCGCAAAAGAACAGCGTCTAATTTGCATATCGAATTATCTAGGTCATGTCGCCTTATAAGACAGCAAAACTTTATAATTAGTAGCGGCCTTCGTTAATTATTTTTACCAACATTTTCTCACCCTCGTTATATATTCCACCATAATGCACGCACATATGTTGATTATGTCTTAGTAATCTGCTGTATTGGTATGATGTGTGTTGTTAACTTAATTAGAATATTGTGTCTATCATTGTAGTATGAAGTAAGATCAAAATACAGGTATATGTTAGACTGCTTTCCATAATGTACATATTGTGTAATGCTGTATTATTAAACTGTATATCCTTGTATTGTGTTGTGTAAACTGTATATCCTTGTGTTGTGTAAACTGTATGCTATGTGTTATGTCTTATCTCCGATGTGTTGTATAACACAAGGAATAAAGAATCTTTTTTTTTTATTTATTTTTTTGACACTTTTTTATTTTCCTTTTTGCATAATCTAATGACAATGACAACACAATTTTACAATGGGGTACATTAATGCGAGAGAATGTTTCAATTTGATTATATATTTGTTACACGCAGATTCTGCCTTGAAGAGCAGAGATATACTTTTGTTCGATTATATATGCTGCTGTGTTTATTACAACTGGAGTACCAATACATACCTATATTGCAAAAAAGACATTTTATTTATTTTATACACATAACATATAACTTTCATGCATCCATTCACTCATTACAAAATGCTTAATACCGCTAGCATGTCTATAAGGCAATTAAGTTAGATTATTTGGAACCATTTGTTTTCAAACCTGTTGTAATCCAT